TTTTTTTGCTCTTTTCATGCCTATGAGCACCTCACCACTACTTGAATTGGCTCAGGCTTGGCTGTCATCTTTGTCTGGTTTGATGTATCTGACTTTTCTTTGATCTTGATTCAGATTAGTCTCTGATTGTTTTTCTTTCTTTCCTGGTGAAAAAGTGTCCACCTTATATTGCTCTTCACTAAAACTACTCAGACTTCCTGTAGAAACTTGATGATAGTACCTCCTGTTTTCCTACTCATCACCATGCCTGTGGCTGGACCAGGCATATTCACTGTTAACCCTTTAGAATTTGACATGTCCAGGCAGAAGCCATTTTGAGATGTTAAGGAATATAATTAGTCAAGTGTATCTAATGCTGCAATAAGAATTCTTTTTTTTAATTTTATTTTACTGTATTATGTTAGTCACCATGCAATACATCATTAGTTTTTGATGTAGTGATCCATGATCCATTGTTTTCGTATAACACCCAGTGCTCCATGCAATACATGCCCTCCTTAATAACTCCCTTTATGAATGTTACTAAACACCAGTCTATGAAATGCTAATATTGTAAGAAATAATAAAAGAAGAGTAGATTCTGAGATTTTATTTATATTTTTATATGAACTACAATTTACTGCCAAAAGTTGATTAATACTTGCTCCTTAGATGCAGGCCTTTACTTTCAGTTGCCTGTAGCATATTGCTTTTTGGGTGTTTACCGTCGCATTATCTGTGACATGTCTAAAAGTGATCGTTTTAACTTGCCCTCCAAAGCAAACTTTTTTCCACTACTCCATTTCTTTCAGTAGCTTCCACCCCCCCACTTTAAAAAAATTCCATCAAGTCATCTCTTAATACTTTCTCTCCATCATCTGCTAAGGGAGCCAGGGCATTGAGGTATCAACATTGGTGGATTTTTTCACTCAAAATATCTCTCAGATACAACAGTCCTTCGGCAGCACCTTGTTCTAACACATCATCACCACCTCCCCTCTGAGAACCATAGCCACTTTCTACCTCCCGTCTCTGCATACATCAAGCCTCCCTGTATACCACAGATAAGTTAATTTTCCTAAGACACTACTTTTATTATGTCGTTATGCCTGCTACTGCCTATTTATTAAGACCAAACTCTTCTACCTGGTAACTAAGGATTCACACAGAGGAACTTTTTTTCATGTTTTCTCTGCCTGGATTTGTCCTTTTTTAAAAAGCTGCTTCCCCCATTCATCTAAGTAACGCTTCACCCTTCAACAACCCACTTTAATGTCACTTCCCTTGTGAAGCCTTTTCTGAACTAATTAATCATTTCATCCTTTGTGTTTTATAACATCCATCATATTATAATACAGTTAGCTGTTTATTGATCTTTCTCTTACACTTTTGAGTTCTTTAAGGTTAGGAACTAAGTTTCAGTCTTATATTTCCTCCCCAGACACAGCACCATATCTGGCACAGAGTAGGAATTGAATACATATTTGTTAAATGAACGAATAAAAAAAAATAAGGGGGGCTTTCTTTTTTTCCATGTGATATTCTCAACTCTGAGTTTATTCACACTTTCTTTACCTACCTGAAAAATCTTTTCACTATTCTCCAAAAATTCAAATGTAATATCTTTTTGAAAATAGTTCAATACAAAATGATATATTTGGTATTATTTGAACTGTTTAAATGTAGACACATATTGCAACAACTCCAAGAAGGGTCTATATTAGAGTGGTAGGACTTATTCTTACTATTAACATTAAACTTATTTAAACAAATTTTAAAGTTCCACATTTTACCTTGTTGTGCTGCTTTGATAGAATAGCTTATCATGGTGACGTTAAAATATGAACTAGAATAAAAGCTGTTAAATATACACCATAAATATATTATTTCCTACACACACACACACACACATACACACACACACACACACCCCTTTAAAGTTCCTTCAAGGATCAGAACAAATTCTACTTCTTCCATTAAACTTTGATTTTTTTTTTTAAAGATTTTATTTATTTATTTGAGAGAGAGAGAATGAGAGCCAGAGAGCACAAGAGGGAAGAGGGTCAGAGGGAGAAGCAGACTCCCCGCTGAGCAGGGAGCCCGATGTAGGACTCGATCCCAGGACTCCAGGATCATGACCTGAGCCGAAGGCAGTCGCTTAACCAACTGAGCCACCCAGGCGCCCTACTTCTTCCATTAAACTTTGTATAAATCCATTTTACAGATTTTTTTCCTCAGATTTCCTTTGGCATTTCTAGTGTGTAAGAGAAAACCATTATTTTGTTCAGTGTTTGGTCTCTTATCTCATATTAGAGCCAGGATTTCTTGAACTTTATTTTGAAACTTTCATGGTCTCAGGTTGACAGTAGGCAATTAATCAATACTTTGTAATTGTTGCTGTTACTATTATTGTTGTTGTGGATCAAGGGGGGAGGGCGCTAACAGGTGACTAATAAGCTAAGACCTTTTTTTTTTTTAATATGACACAGATTTTGATAAAAAATTGGCACCTTCTCTCCTGGAATCTCTTTGTAGTTTTCTTAAATTGGGTTTGCCTCTGGCTAGAATTTTTTTTTCTTCCTTAATTTAAAGTGTTCTCTCTTCTGAGTTTTGTGAGTGTTCTGCCAGGCTTTTCTTTCTTCTTCTTTTTTTCTCCTCTCTTTTAATCTCTTTTAATGCCTTTTGTTTCTCAGTTACACAATGTCATTTTCTCCAACAATTGGCTAATGACTCAACGTTACTAAACTTAAACAGTTTCTTGAAATTCTACCGATGGGGCAAAGGTTTGGTGTTTTTGTTTTCCTCCAGAAGCATGAAGCAACATATCATGTATAACTTATATTTCCTTAAACAAGAGAGTTTCATTTTAGAAATTTACCTTAGGTTTCACATTTGTAATTACTTAGCCATTTACTTTATATCATTTAAAAATCACATTGCTAGCAAACTAAGATATGTGGACTAAATTTTCATATTGATCATATATATTTATTGTTGTTAAATATTAAAAATTAGGATTCAAATAAAACACTACTTTAAGTTTATTTTACACTGTGGTTTCAATCAGACGTTTGAGTTACATAATGGAGTGGGCAATCACTATTTAAAGAATTGAATATTATTTTTCCTTCAGAATGAAAACCACATATTCAATTGGTATTTCTTATAAATAAAAGTGTTCATTGTTCAAGCTGAAGTATAATGATATATTCCATGTTCCCACCCATTAATTTCAATATCAAATAGTTTTAATGTGCATTTTTAAATTGAATGAGTAACAAGATTGCATACCTGCTTAAAATTAACATTAACATTTTCATTTTGGAAACATGATTTTCTCTTACTTTCTCAGTGTAGGCCATCTGTCTTTTTAGTCTTAAAATTTTAAATCACAAGGGCCAATTTCACTCTCCTTAATTTGTCTTGAATTAGGAACTTAATTTGAGAAGAAATGCAGTATCAGTTTATGTCATAATTGTCAGTTTGTTGTAAGTTTGGACTTCTCACCGTGGGCTCTTACTGTCTGGAGCAGACTTCTGGGACCGTTCAAACCCAGTTCAGTGCCATGGAGTATGGACCATTGGTGTGAAACTCTCAGACCAAAAAAGGACTGAAGAAATTAGATCTATAGTCCACAGACTATAAAAATATCCTATTAGAAATAAACATTATAGTATACAGTTGGCTGGAGAACTAATTAAATTATTGATTAAACATACTAAATCATTGAACAAATGATGATGAAGTAAGATGCTTTAAAAGAACACACATATATAATGCCTAGTTAACTATTCCTTTTTTAGCATAGTTATTCTCCATTTCCATTTTTGTAAAAATCCAGGATTGGTGTACTCCCGGCTTGAAATTACAATTCACTCAGAAATAACATGCTGTTTATCTGCTGGCTCAAAACTAGGAGGCTCCAGGAGTGAGCTCAGAATTAGCTATAGGAATTTAAGTGTTGCGGTCTTTAATCTCTGTAATGATACTCCTCAGGTCCCAACTACCTAGGGACTATTTAGCCCTTGTTATCTCTTGGAACTTCTTTTGTCTCTCCCTCCTCCCTCAATGAAGGCAGGAGGCCAGGAGGACTAATAGCTGCCAGCATTTTTGTTAACAAAACCCAAGCTATTTCCTTAAAGCAGGCTCCTTAAAACAAAACGACAGAGAAGTACTTTTTCTTTACAGTTTATTTCTAACATAACAAATAAGCTTTTATCAGAGTAAATACAAAGGTCTAAACATCACACAGAATAGAAGTCTTATGATTTTGTTTGTTTTCACAACTTTATGGTAATGGTTATTAATACCTATTGCTCTCCACTTTATGTTCATTATCCTGAAGTCACATGTATATCCACAAATATTACAGTTTTATGTCAATATGCCTTTTGCTATTTGTTGTGGTCTCCTGAGATTCTTTCAGAAGATAAATGGCCTGTGTGTGTGTGTGTGTGTGTGTATGTATGTGTGTGTTTGTGTGTGTATGTGTGTGTGAGAAAATGAGGTCAGGGGAGGAGGGAAGAAAAGTGGACAGATCAGTGAGAGAGAGAATAAGGTGTTCAAATGGTATTACCAATAAGTGGTATACATAGCAAAATGGCCCTGAAATCCAGAAATTTAGTTCTTATTCCTCTGATGAGCTTAGCCAAAAAGGTTATTTGGGACTGGAATTGTCCCCTTGATCCTGTAGAACACACAAACAAGCTTAGTCTGTTTCATTTACATGCCCACTGTCTGAATTTGCTCTAGCCTCTGTGAAGGCATCGTCCACTGTTTTTAAATCTATTTAGGGCCCATTGTAGCCCATTGATTTTGTTTCATGTTGTGCTCAAATCAACCACCATTTTAGAGTAACTTAGAGGCATTTTATTTACTGGGTTCTCTTTGGAGTTCAGTCTCACCACGTAGGCCTATAAGCATCATCAGTGAAGTAACACACATTCTGTTCATGTTGTCACACGCATTCTGTCATAACCATGAACCACCTATATGATATTGCCCCGTCTACTGTATTGCAGGAAAAACAGAGGTTTCTGACGGATGTTCTGCATGAAGTGATGCTGCTTGACGGCTTGGCCAGTTCCCATCCAGTATCACAGGAAGTGCTACAGGCAACAGATATTGACAGGGTGTTTGACTGGATCGCCTATAAAAAGGTGGGAATAGATAAGACCCAAGTGCCAATTGGATGTTTCACAATCCCAGGGCAGCCAAACTATTTCATGCGAGATGTATTCTTCTCGTCCTCCTGGCAGGTAGAAATGGACCGAGTTAGAAAATAGAGAGTCACTAGGTTCATGTCATTTTATGAGTTAGGGTTTTGCTTTATAAATCAGCAAGATGGAAATGAATGTTTGCCAAACAATGTAAAGAAATGTTGGGAGTATTAATGAATAAATGTTTGGAGTCTTGATATGAAATCGCTGTACAAATGGTGTTGTGTCAGTGTCAGGTTTTATTATTATTAATAAGAGAGCTGACCTACACAGTGACAGATTATTTGTCATCAGTACCCCTTAAATACTTATTTTGCTTTGCTGATACAAATGGTTGTAGGCAGCGGCATATATATTTTATAAACATTGTTTAAGGGATATTTAGGGGATTAAAGATCTTTCTTGGATAATAATCATGATAAGTGAAATTTTAAAGACTACTTTGACTGACAAAGATTTTGGACCAAGGATTAGACACAGAAATAAGACACACTCTGAACTTTTTCCCATTGTTATGTGGATTAAGATTTTTCCTTTCTCTATCCCTTAGTTGTTCTAATTTAACATAAGTATGTATATCTCTTTGTTTAATACTTGTAGCTGCTTGGGAATTATCAAAATAGTGTTAAAGTCTACTTCATCTTTGGTGTAGATTGAATTGCATTTACTGGCATTTCCATGTACTTTATTGATTTATAAATGTTTTAAGTTTTTAAAACTGTTGCTAATATTTTTCCTGAAATATTTCTATTTACAACTAGAGGTCAAATAATGATTCATCAGGATTCCTTGCTACACTAATTTGGATTTTGGTTTTGTACTCCGGAAATGACTATCTATATGCTACAATATGTAAAGATTGTATCTTTACATATACAAATTCTGTTAGAAAATATCTTTTTAAGTCACTGATCATTGCATTGGCTGTAAAAGGGTTTTTGATGATTTGGAAAAATAAGTGGAAGTATAGAACCATACTTAAAATATATGTTAAAATATTGATGTAAAATATCAAAATTTAAAATATATATTATTTTTTATATATGAGGTTTTTTTATTATATATATTTTTAAATTTTTTTATTTAAATTCAGTGTAGTTAACACATACTTTATTAGTTTCAGGGGTAGAATTTAGTGATTCATCAGTTGCATATAACGCGCCATGCTCACTACATCAAATGCCGTCCTTAATGCCCATCACCCAATTACCTCTTCCCCCAACCACCTCCCCTCCAGCAAGCCTGTTTGTTTCTTAGAGTTCAGTGTCTCTTATGATTTGCCTCCCTCTGTATTTTCATCTTATTTTATTTTTCCTTCTCTTTCCCTATGTTCATCTGTTTTGTTTCTTAAATTCCACATATGAGTAAAATCATATGGTATTTGTCTTTCTCTGATTGACTTATTTCACTCGGCATAATACCCTCTAGTTCCAGCCATGTCATTGCAAATAGTAAGATTTCATTCTTTTTGATGGCTGAGTAATATTCCATTGTATTTATATATCACATCTTCTTTATCCATTCATCAGTTGGTGGACATCTGGGCTCTTTTCATATTTTGGCTGTTGTGGACATTGCTGCTATAAACATTGGGAGGTGTGCCACTTTGGATTACTATGTTTGTGTCCTTTGGATAAATACCTAATAGTGCAATTCAAGCATGGGGCTTGAACTCACAATTCCAAGATCAAGAGTCACTTGCATGCTCTACTGACTGAGCCAGCGAGGTGCCCCCTATCTCTTATCTTTTTGATGGTAGCCATTCTAACATTTATGTAGTAATGTCTCATTGTGGTTTTGGTATGCATTTCCCTGATGATTAGTGATGTTGAGCACCTTTTTATATGGGTCATTTGATCAATTTTCTGTCTTCTTTGGGAAAAAATGTCTATTCACGTCCTTTGCCCATTTTTAATAGATTATTTGTGGGGTTTTTTGCTATTGATTTGTGTGAGTTCTTTATACATTTTGTATATATTGCTCCCTTATCCAATATATATTTTGGGAATATTTTCTCCCATATTGTAGGTTGCCTTTTCCATTTATTGATTGTTTCTTTTGCTGTGCCAAAGCTTTTATTTTTTTTAAAGATTATTTATTTATTTATTTAATTGACAGAGAGATAGAGAGACAGCATGAGAGGGAACACAAGCAGGGGGAGTGGGAGAGGGAGAAGCAGGCTTCTGGCTGAGCAGGGAGCCCGATGCGGGGCTCGATCCCAGGACCCTGGGATCATGACCTGAGCTGAAGGCAGTTGCTTAACCAACTGAGCCACCCAGGCGCCCCGCTGTGCCAGAGCTCTTAGTTTGATATAATCCCAATTGTTTATTTTGCTTTTGTTGCCTGTGTTTTTGGTGTCTTATCCAGGAATTCATTGCCAAGACTGAAGTCAAGGATCTTTTCCCTTATGTTTTCCTTTAGGAGTTTTATGGTTTCAGGCCTTATATTGAAATATTTGATTCATTTTTAACTTTTTTTTAAGATTATTTATTTATTTATTTATTTGAGACAGAGAGAATGAGAGAGAGAGAACACACGAGAGGGGGAAGGGTCAGAGGGAGAAGCAGACTCTCCGCCAAGCAGGGAGCCCAATGCGGGACTCGATCCAGGGACTCCTGGGTCATGATCTGAGCCAAAGGCAGTCGCTTAACCAACTGAGCCACCCAGGCACCCCATTTTTAGTTAACTTTTGTGAGTGGTGTAAGATAGGGGTTCAGTTTCATTCTTTTGCATAGGGATATCCAGTTTTCTCAAGACCATTTATTGTAAAGACACCCCATTGTGTATTCTTGGTGCTCTTGTCACAAATTAGTTGACCACATATGCTTGGATTTATATCTAGACTCTCTTTTCTTTCTGCTCTACTGGTTCTTTGTAACTATTTTTGTTTTTGTTTTGGTTTGCCAGTACCATACTGTTTTGGTCAGTATAGCTTTGTAATATAGCTTGTATCAGGAAGTGAGATGCCTCCAGTTTTGTTCTTCTTTCTCAGGATTGTTTGGCTATTTGAAGTCTTTAGGATATGGGATTGGATGCCATTGGAATTTTGATAGGAATTGTATTGAATCTGTAGATTACTTTGGGTAGTAGAGAGATTTTCACAGTATTAATTCTTCCAATCCAAGATCATCTATCTTTCCATTTATTTGTGTCTTCTTCAATCTCTTTCATCAATGTCTTATGGTCTCAGTGTATAAGTCTTTCATTTCCTTGGTTAAATGTATCCCTATGTATTCTTTGCCTTTGATGCTATTGTAAATGGGATTGCTTTTTGAATTTCTCTTTTAGATAGTTCATTGTTAGCATATAGAAACACAACTGATTTCTGTATGTTGAATTCGTATCTTGCAGTTCTATCGAATTAATGTATTAGTTGCATTTTTGGTGGAGTCTTTAGGGTTTTCTATATATCAGACCATATCATCTACACAAAGAGATAATTTTACTTCTTCCTTGTTGATTCAGATACCTTTTTAATTTTTTTTTATGTTCTTGTCTAGTTGCTATGGCTAGGATTTCTAGTACTGTGTTGAATAGAAATGGTGAGAATGGGCATCCTTGTCATTCCTGATCTTAGAGGAAAGGCTTTTAACTTTCACCACTTAGTATGATGTTAGCTATGGGCTTGTCTTCATATCTATGTATCTTTACGCTTTAAGTACCACTAAAATTCTGTCCTTCCTGTGTGTTTTCAAGTGATGATGGATCTACAGTATTTTCAAAGGAGACTTCACAAGAAGGAAGTTTTAACAGCTATACTGAGGTATAATTAAAATACAGTAAACTGTACGTGTTTAAAAGGTACAATTTGATATATTCTGACATATGTATACACAGTGAAAACATTACCATGATCCATTTAATGAGCATATCCATCAAATGTTTTCTCATGCCTCTTTGTAATCACTTTCCCATCTCTCCTCTCTTCTTCATTGATCAACTTTTTCACTATCGATTAAATTGCATTTTCTAGAGTTTTATATAAATGAAATCATTAAGTATGTACTCGTACTTGTTTTTGTCTGCTCTCTTTCACTCAACCTAATGATTCTGAGATACATTCATGGTGTAGAATATATGGATACAATACAATTTCTACATTCTCCTGGATATTTGGGTTGTTTCTAGTTTTTGTCTGTTACAAATAAAGCTGCTATAAACATTTGTGTGCAGGTCTTTGTATGTATATTTGCTTTTATTTCTCTTGGGTAAATACCTAGAAGTGGAATGTCCAGGTAATATGAAGGTATGTTCAATGTTTTAAGACTGCTGATCTGTTTTCCACTGTAGTTGTACCATTGTATCATGGCATATTCCCGCTGAACATGTATCAAAGTCCTACTTTCTCCACATCTTCACCAACATAAACATGGTATAATCAGTTCTTTTAATTTTAGATATTTTTAAAAAGATTTTGTTTATTTATTTGAGAGAGAGCATGAGCTGGAGTGGAGGGGGAGAAGGGAAGGAGAAGCAGACTCCTTGCTAAGCAGGGAGCCCAACATGGTGCTCAATACCACGACCCCAAGATCATGACCTGAGCTGAAACACTTAAACGACTGAGCCACTCAGGCACCCCTAATTTTAGATATTGTAATGGTATCTCACTGTAGTTGTATATTACATTTCCATAACCACTAATGATATTGACCAGTTTTTCATTTGCATATTTTCCCTCAAATATCTTCATTAGTGAAGAGTCAGTTCAAATCCTTTGCCCATGTTTTTTTTTAATTTGTTTGTTTTCTTATTACTGAGGTTTTTAAAAAAGATTTTATGTATTTATTTGAAAGAGAGCATGAACCAGAGGGAGGAGCAGAGGGAGAGAGATAAGCAGACTCTGCACTCAGCGTGGAGCCTGCTGTGGCGCTCAGTCTCATGACCCTGAGATCATGACCTGAGCCAAAAATCAAGAGTTGGACGCTTAACACACTAAGCCA